GCGTGTGAAGTGTATTAAAGTGATTTAATGTGCTCGTTTCTGTTCATTTAGGCCTTTGAGTTAGCAACAGGAGACTATCTGTTCGAGCCTCATTCTGGGGAAGATTACTCACGGGATGAAGGTGTGTTTGTCCAAGTCTTTCCTTTTTAAAATGGGACATGAAATACAATGGTTGCTTCTTCAGAGTGAGCCTTCTCTTATGAGTTAGCAATGCAAAGGCTCCTTGCAAAAAGATTGTTTACCCAAATCAGCACCAACGGTGCTCGAGCCTCTGCAGTAAAACACCGTGCAACAAAGTCCATGTTCTTGTTCTGGTGTTTTCCATTCCTCTTGCTGCTGGATTCTCTTAATCTTGCTTCTCAAACTGATCGTGCCTCAAATTGCCCTTACCTTTTTTCCCCTGGCCTTGGTCGTTGCTTAGTGTAATTGGATTTCAGGTGGATCTCAAAGTAATTTTTAAGGGAGATAATGCTTTTGTCCTTATCCCAGAGAAGGAAAGTGGGGCACAGAGATGACTTGTATGGATGTGTCTCATTGTCTTTTCTTTTGCAAAAATGCAGATCACATTGCGTTGATCATAGAACTTCTGGGGAAAATACCTCGCAAGCTCATTTTGGCAGGAAAATATTCCAAGGAGTTTTTCACCAAAAAAGGTAAAAGGAAACAAAGCAAATGTCACTTATACCCTCATTCCCTGCCCCAAATACACAAGAGCGCCTTGCTGGAAATGCCAATCAATGATAGATGCTAGCAAAGATGCCTCTTTAAGCCTTTCCTTTGTTTTATGAAAGGCTTTCTCAGTAAAGCTGCAGCTAAATATAAGGCATTCTTGTCTAACTGCTAAAAGTATCCTATATGCTAGTACTTGACATCTTGGTGTAGATCAAATGCAGCAGGTAGAAAAACAGTACTATAGATATTTCTTCAGACTTAATTTGGCTTTATTTAGCTGATCTTTGTCAACTGGAGGTGTTGACTCCCCTTTGAAGTCTTCTCTAGACAACTTTGTTCCATTTCTAGCATGCCAGTCACTTAAATAGCGCCTTGCATCCTGAGCCGTGTTGCTCAGGACACATTATACCATTGTCAAAGCCCTGAATACCCCAGAAATGTATTGAGTCTCAAGAAGTTTTTGACCTAGTTTAATACTTTTTTTTTAATACAACAAACCCTTTTTTGTTAGTAGTGTATTGCTTCCTCAAACAGTGCTGCATGTATTGCATGTATTCCAATGTCACGGCACAGTGTTCATCTGTCAAGTCAACTGGTATAACTGGTGATTTAATGAAGTTAAACAATATTTGCTGATACTGGATCTGAAATAGCAGGAGGGAGAAAAGAAGCTTTCAGGGAAGTACATTTCTAGAACAGTCTTCAAAAGCAGATGATAAAGGGGATTTAGTATAACTTATTTCTTCCTTCAGCATGCCCTACCATTTTATACTCCCTGTGCCCAACTACTCAGAACAGTTTCTGAATTCAGTCTGCCTTGTTTAGCTGTTGGGCCTGTTTTATTCAGCCGCTCTGTTCCCACGTCTTGCACTTAACCTGTCTGTCTTGGTTTTCAGGTGATCTGAAGCACATCACCAAACTGAAGCCCTGGGGCCTTTTTGAAGTCTTGGTGGAAAAATACGAGTGGTCCCAAGATGAGGCAGCTGCATTCACAGACTTCTTATTACCTATGTTGGAGCTGATCCCAGAGAAGCGAGCTACAGCAGCAGAGTGTCTCAGGCACCCCTGGCTTAACTCCTAGAGGCTTCGACCCAATGCCACAGCACTACACTCTGGTTTACAGCATAGCGTACATGCACCCAGCCGCCCCTTCCCAGATCCATTTTTTTTTTCCTTGTTCATTTTCAGTGTGAAGTTCTTCCTTCAAGGCTTCCAAGATTTTAGATAAATCTAACCTGTTCTGCTGAGTTTGCTTGTGTGACTCAATGGGGACTCTCCTCAGCCAGTGGGCATCATCTGTGTTTTGCCTTGATTGGGCTTCGCCAAAGACTAATTGACTAGAATATGAAGTTTTTTTCTGAGTCTCCTCACTGTTAATCACCGTGTGCTACAGATGTGAGCTCACCTGTGCTCAGATATGCTCCCTTAGCTAAATTTCAACTCTCCTTTCTTCCTGAGGGGGATGTGAAGATCCAAACGCCTCCTTATCTCACTGATTCAGGAGTCAATTTCCCGCTGTTCATCTGGTAGCTAGCAATGGGGTGAGAAGTAACGGGTGGCACCAAAGTGGTGTTAGTTCCTTGTAGAGCAAAGACCTCCAAATCCTCCATCGTTTTCTAGGTGTCTACTGTATTCTTTGCTTTCCAGTCACATAACTTTTCTCTAGTTCTAGCTGCTTAAATTTTTTGCAAAGAGCTATTTAAACCTAGGTTTTAGTATCCTTTATTTCTTCCTCCAAAGTGCCCTGCCCATTTACTTTTTCCTTCCCTGTGCCCAGATAGTTTCTGAACTCGGTGATATTTTCTACTTTAGCGCCTGTGACTAAAAGGTGACAAGCAAAATGAGCAAAAGCTGGAACTGACTCAACGCACAATCTTCAGCATGCAGATGGGTGCACCCTTTGGCTGCAGAGAGGTAGCCTTGTTGCAGGCAACTCTTCTAATGTTTTAGTGAGCTGTAAGTTTTTTTGGTTTTTATCCCTTACTGGCACTTTTTTGCCTTGCTTGAGGCAGTTGCTGTATCCGTGAGAGATTGGCTTTCACTGATGCAGTCTACTCTGGCTCTTAATTTTTGCCCGTTCACTTTTTTGCAAGAAAAGGGTGGCAGCATCTGTATCACAGCCATGCTATAGCCCTGGACTTTCAAAATCAACACTTGAAGAGGCCCAGTGTAAAGATTTCTTTTCCTTTAACTTGCTTCAGGTGCTGGCCTTCAGAAATAACTTCCCAGGGTGGGACTGCCTTTTATTTTCTGGGCCGTTAGCACAAGGAGAGCTAGCAGAAGTGGAAGAGGACTGACTTTTCCATGCAGATACTGTATTAGAAGCTGTTTCTAGAGTTACCCCAAGTAAAAATGTTCTGTGGGGTTTCTATATTAACTTCTCAGAGGGGGTTGGATATAGTGAGGAAATGGGTTAATTTTAATTAAAAGTTAAATCACTGTGGCATTTGATAGTTTTACGATGGCTGCTTCTAGACTTGCCCATCCTATTACAGATTCAGTGCATCCTACTCTACTCTAAAGCGAGATTTGGCAGCGTTGAGACTTCAGAGGCACTTCCTTACCCTGGACCAAACAGGCCTTTGGATTCGTGGTGGCTCTCAGAGGATAGAAGTCGCTGCAGGAGCGTGCCAGAGGCCACGCAGATGCTATCCGAGACGATTACGTTGCCAAAGCTGCCAAGACCACTGTTACATGTCACTTTGTATGTGTGTTTGGAAATCCTGGTGCGTAAGGATCGTTCATTCATAAACCTTGGTGTCATTTAATCCACTTGAAAAGAGTTTCTCCAGCCCCGTGCCTGATTGGGCTTATTAATGCAAATCATGCTGCATGTTCTTTTAGGGGTAGATCAGGTTCTCTATGCATATAATCTAAAATTAAAGGAAGGTAACATACCAAAAGAGTTTTAAACTGCTGATTTGACTTTTTTCTTTCCCCTTTCATCTGGAGTTCTCCAGTTGCGCGTCACTTCCATATCTGTTACAGAAGGACTGGGTTCCAAAATACCTACTGTCTACATACTGTGAAGATACATTGGCAGGGCAAACAATTTCTGTTGTCTTGAAAGCTCACCGGGTCCTGTGTACTTGAGACTGGCTGATTAAAGAACTCTTCCTAGAAGGCGTCTGCACGCTTCGACTCTGAGAGCTCCTTCCCTTCCCTCTGCCACCCCTGACTGGAGGAGGAGGTGTTTTACCGTGATAGCCAAGGCTAGAGCCAGCTTGTGAGTTGAAGACCTGCAGAAGCAGCTGTCGGGATTCAGTCTTGTTCCGTGTGCTCGTTCACTTGGGGTTTGTTAAATTTCCAAATTGCCGTGAAGTGCTCACACTAAAGGATTTGTACTTGCTGTGTCAGTCTAAAACCTGAAGGAAAATACATTTTTATTCTTTCTACTTGGGTGCTTTGTCTTTTTTTCTTTGTGAAAGCCGTACAATAAACAGATTATTTAATAACTGAGCCCTATTCCTCATGTCCCCTCTGTAAGTCTGTTCTTTCTGAGCTAGTGGCCTGTTGACTGGATTGTCTTTGCTAGTGAGCGCTTAGTTTTGCTTTCCAGAATGGGATGCAGGGAGATGGTGTAGGTGAAGATTTTGTTGCTGGTATTGTGATCTGTTTTAAAAGGGGGAGAAGAGTAGTCAATAGCAGGACAACTCTGCTGGAATTTTTCCATTCTAAAATGTTTTTCTCCAAGTCTGTCATATCTCTGCTGTCTTCCCTCGCAATGAGTCTTAATAAAACCTTCCCAAACACTTTTTTAGAGGGAAGCATAAAACTGGAAGGTGCTTGTTAGAACGGAATTGAATTGTCTGCTGCAGGAACCAACAGATCACAGCAAGCAGAAACGAAAATCATAATCCAGGCTAATCTGGGGTTCTGACCAGGTAAGAGCTGGACGGGATGCTGTGCTGCTTTGTCTTCTGCAGAAACGGACTGTGCTGAAGGGGCCGCCACAGGTGGGTGTTGGCCGTGATGGGAAATGATGGCTAAATCGGATTAATCGGCGGGTTCTGGCAGTGCAGCAAGTTGATGCTGACTGGCACCATCTGCTGCAGTTTGCAGGTACTGTTACAGGCCTGTAACAGTAAATCTGCAGCCCGGCAGATTTATTTTTCCCAGAAAAGTGCCCTCTTTAAAAGGTTGTCTTTGGTTATTGTTGCCCGGAGTGGGAAGCCGATTCATGGCTTTGCTAGGAATTGGCTGCGTTGTGGTGTTTTTCCAAGCACAAGGGCAAGCTGGGACGTGGCAGAGGACTTCCCCTGCCCCAAGGAGACTAGCAGAAAATCCCAAAATGCTAACTTTTTTTTTTTTATTCAGAAGTAATTTCCTTGAAAGAAGGTGTACAAACCCCAAGAAGCAGCAAATCGCCATCCCTCCCCTTTTCCCCAGGTTTGCTGATGGACTCAAACCCCCAAAAAACACCACCAAAAAAAACCCCCGACTGTGTCCGGTTTGGGCTCTTCCCATCAAATAAACTCCATGAGAGCTGTGAGCCGATAGCGGCCCCTTAGGTGAAAAGAACAATTGTAGAAAATCCACAGAAGTTGGCAAGTTTTTAAAGCTCCTGGAAAAGCCATTTCAAAGAAAAGGGCTGTGTCTCTTGAAGTTGATGGAAGAAGAGTTCTAGGTGTCCCTGGGAAGAGAAAGAAAAGGTCAGCTGTTGCCAAACGGAGTATGACTTCAAATTTTAAGCTTTTTTTTTTTTTTTACTTTTTAACCACAAATAAAACCAATGTGCCTATAGCACCACACTCTATACAGTTGCCGATCCTTTAGTAATCCTCAAGATACAACAGCAGCATCACGTGTGCTTGGAAGAAACATTAAAAATCGCTGCGGGCATCACTTACGTGGTGATCAGCTCTGTCAGTTGTTGCCCTCTTCTGTAAAACAAAAAGGTAGTTGCCCTGTTACTGGGGTATAGGAATAACAACAGAGGTGCAGGTGTGTTTTCACCTGCAGCGTGGTGACTGTGACAGCTCTCCTGCTTCTCCCACTGGAGGAAGCCACCACCCTCCCAAATAACAGCACTCCCCTGCGGTGTGGAAACGCTCTGCAGCAGGACGGGGGCTCGGAGCTCAGCCCCAGCTGCCTTTACCTTTATTTTCCACTTTAAAATCAGACGGGAGGAGGTTGTCCTGCCGGTTCCCCAACACAAAGGCCAGGAAGGAGAGTATGAGAGCGTCGAGGATGCCGATGATGCAGAGGATGTACGCCCAGCGCACGGTGCAGGCGCCCAGCGTGTACTTGTCCGTCTTGTCCCCGCACATGCGCTTCACCTCGCTCGAGTCCCAGCCGTCGGGGTAGATCAGGCAGCCGATCATCAGCCCGGTAGCTGTGGGGAGAAGGAGACGTTACAGTGGCCACGAGCTACCTGCTGAGCTGACACTGCCGGTGGAGGAGCACGGCAAGGCTGCGTCCGGCCACAACCACAACGCTACAAAGAGAGAAAATACTATGGACCAGCTAACTAGGCGTAAAGGTTCCCCATGCCCTGCAGTTGCCCATCACGCGTGGGCTCTGCTTCGTTCACGCTGCTGCAGCCGGGGAGGAGAAGGTTATGGCACGCTGCCTTCCCACAAGCTCAGCGTGCTGCTCCCCATCAAGGACACGCTGCGGCAGCATCTCCCATCACTGCGTTGCCCAGGCAACACCTCTCCTCTCCTGCCTCCACACACGTCCCTGGCTGTGTCACTCCGAAGACATATTTTCTCCGAACAAAACTGGGATGGATTTAGTCTGTGCAAAGTGGAGAACCTTGTTGTTGCCCCGTCCGTAGCCGGATTTCAGCTTATGCTTTGCCGAGGCAGCACCGCCCTCAGCAGCAGCTTTGCAGGCAGATTAATTCTGCTTGTTCAGCTGCGGTGGTTCCAGCCCGGCTGTGAGCCACCGGCTTCTCCTGCGGCTGCTCTCATCGCCCGACCCTGGCGCACACACGACCTCGGAGGCCGCTCCAGCCTGGCTGCGGGGCCCCCGGCACGTTGCCCTTGCGGCTTTGCCATGGGAGCTGCAACAAACCCAGCGCGAGCTGCCGAAGGGCCGTCTTCTGCCAAGCGGCTCATGTCCCAAAAGCTCAGAAGTGCTTTTTTTTCCCCCACGTGCTCAGAGAAATTGTTGTTGTATTTGCTGGACAAGAGTGACTGGGTTCAGTAGGGAGAAGAGCCAAGCTCATCTGCAAGGCTTTGGGATGTGATTAACAGAGGCTCTTTGCATCCTCCGCTGTTATCTTGGTGCAGAGCATGGAAGTAACTGGTCCTTTATATCTTTTTGTGCAGGTGTGAGGACCTCCCAGACTCCCCTCGTGCCAGATACAACCCCATGGCGGGAGCTCTGGATGAGCGGCCGTCTGTCCCTGCCCTTCATGGACATCCGCAACCTCCTGCAGCAGCGAGATGCTCCCTGCCCCGTACCGGTACCTTTTCTCTGTCACTGGGTGCTCGGAAAACCAGGAAACACTTTTGGGGGGGGTTGCCTCACCCTTTGCCGATGTTTTGGGTTTTTTTTTTTCCCTTGGTTTGGGGACAGGAGAGCGGCAAGGCCAGTGGGCAGCTTCCTAGGTCTGCAGAGAACATTTCTCGTCATTGAGAAGCAGCTGGTTTCTCCTGCATTTAATTACTCTTCCCTGTAGCTAACAGAGAGGAGGGGCACGGAGAAACGGGGGAAGCTGGAAAGGAATCGCTTCTCCTGTGAAAATGCACCCTGGCGCAGAGCAAAGGCCAGAAAATGGATCCGCTCATCGTCACCTGCCTCCTTTTTAAAATAACTCCCAGAAATGCAGCAGCATCTGCATTGCCTGGTGGCGGCTCGAAAGCTCCCGAGAGCCTGTCTGGTGCAGAGAAACTGGGCTGTCGGGGACGATTCGGGCTTGTCCGTGTGGCCAGAGCTGCCTGCGCCGGGTTTCTCTCCCCCATCCAGCACAAAAACGTATGTAAAAGCCCCAAATACAACAGCAAAGCCTTTCCCTGCTCCGGCTCCCTGGGAGGCTGAGCTGCCCCAAGCCTCTTATCTAAATCTTCGCTTGAGCTCGTTTCTTTAGCCAGGAACTGGAGCAATCCTGATGCCATGGCCGTCAACCCGCAGGGTTTTAGCCGGGGTGTCTGGGGACAGCAGGGGCTGCAGCCAGTCCCGGCATGAATGATTCAGGAGCAGCAAAGGGCTGGGTTGGGTTTCAGCTGAGGCTTCGAACGCAGGAGCTGGGTTACCCAGTGTCTCGGGTGTCTCACTGCGTTGGGGGAGGGATGGGGACGGCTGGAGATCTGCAGGGATGAGCGGAGGGATGTGAGGATGGGCGGAAAAGTAGGAAAACGTGGGTGATGATATCAAATCCTACGGTCAGTCCCCTCCTCCTGTTCCACCTCCCCAGTATGTCGTCCCCTGAGCTCAGGGAGTTACCGGTTGCTGCAGGGGACATCGTAGGCACCAAATAACCCAGCAAACGTTATCACCATATCCCTCATTAATTCCCGCAGGTTCCCTAACACAGCAGGGAACCCCGTGCCCTGGCCCTGCGGCGTTCGGTTCTCTCGGACTGATGCTCTGAAGCCATGACCCTGCTGCACCACGGGGCAGAGCAAAAGCAACAGCGCTGGGCGACAGCCGGAGGAAAAGCTCCCCCAGGTAAGCAGGGATGGACCGTGGCTGGGCCATCGGTGCCGCGTGGTTTTGCAGCAGCAGCAGCGCACGGGGGGAAGCATTGCCCATGCGCAGCGAGTCTGCTGGGTCTCAGCTGCTCTGACAGGCTTCGCTTGCTGCAAATTTCCCACTGGTAACCAGTAAGGGGGAGCAAATGGGGCCAGCCGGAGGAAAAGCTCCCCCAGGTAAGCAGGGATGGACCGTGGCTGGGCCATCGGTGCCGCGTGGTTTTGCAGCAGCAGCAGCGCACGGGGGGAAGCATTGCCCATGCGCAGCGAGTCTGCTGGGTCTCAGCTGCTCTGACAGGCTTCGCTTGCTGCAAATTTCCCACTGGTAACCAGTAAGGGGGAGCAAATGGGGCACGGAGGTTATGCTGGTGTCCCTTTCCTGGCCAGCCCC